CATGGAAAGTAGAGAAACAGTAAATTTCATATTCCCAACAGTATTTCCCATTCTACAAGTACACTAATCCCATGAGTCAGACACATACAAGAGCCAAGCCCTAGTAAACTGTATTTGGGAGACCTGGTTTCATAAAAGAGAAGATCAAGAGAAAAGAAACCTCCCAACAATTTTAATACGTGATTCATTTTAGGGGACTTTGCAAAAAAAAATACATAGGCATAGAAACCCACTTGGACATGGATAAGAATAGGTATACATTGGAAGGGAAGCTTGTAAGTAAACGGTAAGTTTTTTTTAAAAAGTATTGGCAGAAAAAGAAAAGGAGTACGGTACACCAGATGCAGGATTCCAAATTTGGTAATTTTGTTTTTCAGTGAGAAAACTCAAGCCATATTAATTGGCATGTTTTACTGTGGCTGGTGCAATACAGATTACTCATGTGCCTCTCTGGAGCCCATTTTCTGTATCTATAATTCATTCTAGGGTGTTCTCAGTTGTGATGAAAAATCAACTAATAGTTTGCAATGTAAAGAAACATTTAGTCCCTATATGTATTAAAAATGCGACTTTGAGAACCATGATGTCCGCTTGTTAAATCAGACACGTGAATGGGAACTATGAGTAGACTCTCCCCATTTGGACATGCCATGGGCCCAGAGATCAACCAAGTCATCCACCAAACCCTTGGCTTGACCAGGGTAAAGAAAGCTGGGTCCACCTCTTTCCCCTGAGGGATCCCATTTGGACATGCCATGGGCCCAGAGATCAACCAAGTCATCCACCAAACCCTTGGCTTGATCAGGGTAAAGAAAGCTGGGTCCACCTCTTTCCCCTGAGGGACGAACCCCTTTTTAAAAGAGGGCTCCACTTTTCCAGAAAAATTGGTAATATTTAAAAGTTCTAAAGAAACCAGGACCTTGCTGTGCAAAACAGTAGTAAACTTAGTTTTATGAGTTTCTATCACAAGCATATAAAATGCTTTACTGAAACTACCACCGAACTGGAAAAACTCAGGAAAAATGATCCTGAATTCCATGTGAACACTCATAAATCTACCCCTCCCCTTTCTCTCTCTCCAAAGCACATTCTACATAAAATCCATGTTCGACATCAGCTTTTCTCTCACTTCATAGCAACCCCTAATACCACGTGCAGATCAGCAAGTGCGGAGTGAAACTTCTCCTTTTGTGAAGCTCTTTTCAGGCATACCTAACGCTGCTATGCAAGCAGAGTCCAGGGTACTGGGCAGAATCTCAGAACAAGGCTGACTGCGGAGAAGATATGCTTACTGGTCATTAACCCCAAAGCAAAAAGAAAGTAAAAAGTAACACGGAGAAGAAAACCCCTGTGGGACGTCCTAAGAAGAGGATGTTGCAATTTTGGATTATGTTCGAACACAAAAGCAAACAACAGACTCATCTTCAAGGTGGGTAAGGCTGTCAAGATCTGCTAACACTTCATTTAATATTTTGATTGTATGCAAAATTAGGCAATACCTACCTGAGACAAGCCTAAATGTACAGAAGCTGTTTCGGATATATACATGATTTTGCCATCAGATGCTACCACAAAAACAAATCCATCCAAAGTCTGTAAAAGAGAAAGTGTCAGGGTAAGAGGTGATCGTTCTACATTAGAGTTAAATCTAATAATTGTATTATCACTGGGATGGAGGAATGTATAAAATATTATATATCAATCCCATCTGTTGAATGCAAAAACCGAGCTCAGGGCCATACGAAGGACTGTAGGTAACAACGCTCAAGGTTTCATGCCAGGCTTTCAAATGCTTTTAAAGTACTTTAAAAACAATCCTGCATCCACATCACCAAAATCATGCAAAACATTTCAGAATTCCTATCATGCTCAGTTTTAATGTAGTAGCTTTATTGTTTGGGGTTATTTTAGCACTTAGCACAAATCCGGAGTTCTATGGTACTTGGGGTGAGATCTACCACTATATAGACCATTTTAGTTCATAATTGGCAGTCGTTTATACCACTAGGACATACGCTTTATTTGCCACAATTCTCTAGTTACCCCTAAGTACCATTTGAATAATAAATTCCAAACACTACCACTCCCCAGAAAATAAAACAAAATACCTGGTTATTTTTACCAGACTATGTCTACAGAATTAATTATTTAGAATTTGCAAGAAATCACATAACCTTTGCAAAATTTGAGGAGGAAAAGTATCAACTTTTGAAAAATTAAAACTACCCAAATAAAATTCTGCTTTTGCCTAAGTTGGCTACCCCCCCCCCAATAAAGTAAAATTATAAGGGATAACTAAGACAAATAAAAAAGTAATGATTTTTACATTTATGTTTGTCAAGGATAAAAAGACTTATTTTTGAAAAAGGAAACTATTTTATTTATGCGTTCATATTGTAGATCCAGAACTAAAGAAAAGCAATAAAGTTAGTGAAAGAGCAGTACAAACTACAACGCTGCCCCCATAAAAAATATTCCAAATTAATTTCTGGCCACAAATTCTATTTTTATGGCATGTAATTGAAACCAGATTACCTTTGGTTTTTCCAACCTCCCCCCCTCCCCGCCTTGCTGGTGGGGGGGACTAAAAACAATGTAGTGGAAGTGAAACTTGAAAGATATCTTTATGTTCTGCTGTCTCAAATAAAGTGAGCTGCAAAATTCTTTGCCAACTAAACTGTCATTATCTTTCCCTATGCTAAGCTTGAAAGTAGCATATTGATTATAAGCCTTACTTTCAGGTTTCTAACTCAGCTAAAAAAGATCTTCCCAGCTAAACCTGTGGCATTTCAAAATCATAAACTATACAGCAATTTTACAGTTATAAACGTTTTGACACATTTTGCATGCTTGCTTAACTCCGAAATCATCAAAGACACACATTAAATAAAATAGTATCTCACAACCAGCCATATCTAGAATAATGAGTAAAAAAGAAAAAAACTATAATAATTAAATTCTAAAAGTTGCCAGCAGAGGCAAAATGTGTGCGTGCGTGCGTGCGTGCGTGCAAAAAAACTATAATAATTAAATTCTAAAAGTTGCCAGCAGAGGCAAAATGTGTGCGTGCGTGTGTGTGTGTGTGTGTGTGTGTGTGTGTGTATTCTTAATGGAAAATGTTGGGTATGCCCTCATGGCTTCAAATTACTTAATTCGCTTTCATGTGTAATAACTGCAAAGACGCCCATCCACACACCACTCCGGAATTAATTAAAGAAATGTTCAGTGGAGAAGTCTGGGTGAGTTGACTTTGCCCACCAGGTTTTCACAGAAGTTCCCCGGCACTTAGTTGTCCCTGATATTAGTGTCACTTACAATATGTAGGAGTACGAAACATGCAAAACACCGTGCGCGACGTCGGGAGTGCGCGAGGGTGGGGGGCGAGGGCGCGCGGGCCGCGCTCCCGGGCACAGCGCCATTACCCGGCCGGCGGCCGCCACTCGCTGCATATAGCAAAAGCTCCGGGATTCAGATATTCCTCGGGATCTTCTCGTCCCAGCGCGTGCATTTTGAAAAATAAATCACACTAGGGCACTGGGGGCAAAAGAATTTTGAAAAGATCTGCTTTTTCAAAATGCAGAGCTTGTGGCTGACTCGCTGACCTAAGTCACAGAGTCCCGCAGCCAACATTTTTTTCTTTTAAAGAAAACACAAAATAGAGGGAGGAAATGCAAAGTAGCTCTCCGTAGGCAGTTTTCGATGGCAGAGACAAATGACGGGAGGCGGGGGTAATGAATCGGGTCGTTGATCAGGCTCTGTAAAAGGCATTTGAAAGATTCCCAGACGGGAAGCGTTGCTGTCCCCAGCTAGCGCCAGTCACCGACCTGGAAGTGGCCGGTCGTGCGCAGGGCTACCCGGCCGAACTGCAACACCCAGGCACAGCCCCGGGCCCCAGACGTTATGGGGGAAAGCTGAGGTCCGGAGCGGTGTAGCAACTGCAGGCTGAATGGCCCCGGGCTGGTGGCGATAAGGGCCTGACCCCAAATCAAGCAAGGGCTCTGACAACCAGGTGACCCTGGAGGCCACACCATGTTCTGGTTTGGGGCGCTGGATCCTGAGCTGAACCACTTGGGTTAACCCAGCTCCACCTCTTGCTGTGTGACCTCAGACGTGTTACTGAACCTTTCTGTGCCTCAACTTCCTCCTCTGAAAAACTGGAGTTAAAAATAGAACCCTCCCTAGGTGGGCAGTGAAGCAAGATAATACAGTAAGGTCTGGACCAGAATGTGGCCTGTAATAAACTCTCAGTACGTGCCAACTGTTAAGATTCTATTACAGACGCTGACTTTCCATCATTGCAACCCCTACAAACGCACACAATTGCCAAACGCTTTACAGCTGCTGCACTCTGGCTCGAAACATCCAGATCTTTCCTTCCCTGGCTGCAGCGCCTGGCCGAGCATCTGGCACAGAGCAAGAGCTCAGTCAAAGTGTCTGAGGGAAGGTTGGAAAGGACTTCACTACATGCAGGGGCACCGTTTGGACTAGGTCTCGAGTGAGCTAGAGGGTCCTGCGGTACGGGGGCGATGTGTGTGGGGTGGGGGTGAATTCGCCTGCCTTACGCGACCTCTGCAGCCTGGGGGTGGCCTATGGATCTACCCGGCGCTTCTTGGAGAGGGGACACCTCCAGGGTGGGGTGGAAGGGTCGGAAGGGAGCCCCCGCCCCGTCGCCGGCCGGTGCCGCCAACCACGGCGGCTCTCCTTTCCCGCCACGGCAGCTTTACCTGCAGCAAGTGCGATCCCAGCTCCTTGGCGACGCTGTCCAGGGGCCCGGCGCGGCTCGGCTGTCCCCACGCGTCTCCTAAACCTGGACGGGGGTATATAAAGTAAACCAGTAAACGGCAGCACCTGGAGGCCTGGGCGCCATTCAGGGCTCCGGGGACCTCGGCACCCTGAGCCCCACCCCAGCCCGGAGCACCCCTCGCCGCCTCCCCGGCCCAGCAGGCAGCCGTCTGTGTCCTCGCCGCCGCCCCTTTGCCCTCGGTTGAAAAGAAAAAGTCCGGAGGGGAAATCCCGCAGAAGCCTCCAGCTCCAGGCGCCCCTGCGCGAACTGGCCTGCCAGGCACATCGCTCCCGCGGGTCGCCCACGTGCTCGTGGCTCTGAAATTGCCATTTTATTTGAAATGCCACAAAGTAATCTAATCTGCTTTGAAATTGGCCATCCTCGTAGCCAAACGGGAATATCGATTTGACCCGCAAATATTCCCCCAAGGACCCTCCTTCCCTCCCTCCCTCCGCGTCGCCGGCACTCTGTATTTTCCCAACGACGAGAGGTCCAGATGGAGAGCCCCGCCGCCCAGGAGGCAGTTTTCCTGCATAAAAAGGCCTCCCCCTCCTTATCCCCCAGACTCCCAGCCCTCACAGGCTTCCTGGGAGCGCTCTCCCCAGTCCAACCCCGAGCTCCGGCCGGGAAGGGTTTACCGCGGGGCTTCCCGAGGGCAAACCCCAAATCTGCGAGGGGGGAGGGGTGGGCCACACGCCCCGTGAGCCGCGAATACACTCGAGGTAACAGGGAGATGTCTGTCGTCACACAGTCGAGCTCTTCCATCCCCTCCGTTTCTTCACTGAGTCCCCCACCTCCCCGAAGGCCACCAGTAATGCAGAAAGCCCACCGGGGAAAGAGAGCCCTGCCGGTCAGAATCGCCCTCTCTGCGCCCACCCCCAGCTGCGACCGCTGTGGGGTGAGCTGTGGACCACGCTGGCGCGTCCCCCAGGGAACTGCAGGCCAGGCCCAGCCCCGCTCGCCTGTGCGCCGGGAGCGCAGGACCACAGGTCAGCAGCCTGCAGGCGGGCGAGACGCGCAGGGGCCGTCCCCGGGGCCGCCAAGCCCTTTCAAACAGGCAGCCGCCACTAAGTTCCTGGAGAGTCGCGGTGCAGGCACCCTAGGTCTCCCCGCTGTCCCTGTGGGCCCCGGAGCATTGCGGTTTCTGGAGGCCTCAATCTCAGGAGGCGGAAAACGCACCGCGCCGCCTAGGGCTGAGGCTTTGCAGACCCCTACGTAAACTGTTTGGCAACTAAGAAAGAGATGATTTTAAATTTCTCCTCCTGGGATCTACTAACTAGGGGCTTATCCTGGTCGCCCCGTAAGGAAGTAGCTAATTTCCACGTGTCCCGATCCCCCAAATACAGGTTATTCGTGGCCTCCCAGCCTCCACCACATGAGTGAAGGTGTCTCTTTAACCGGAGGAAATCACTGCCACCCCGGTGGCATCACCACGGTGTTCAGCATCGTAGCACTTGCTCTGAGGCGCAGGTCCTTCCTCTCCGACACCCAGGCGGGCAGCCTGGTGGCATCAGCTGGTTCATTTGACCAACAATGAAAAGAACCCAAATTTAAAAGCCCCCGGGCTTGGGTGAATAAAGAATTCAAGGACGCAGGAATTCTGATGTCCGAAAATAGACAAATGCACCCTGGTAACTGTGTTTCTCTTCCCTGCCCCTGGGTCGTTCTCCGGGTCTTGGCGGTGCGCTGGAGAGTGAAGCCGCACTGGTCCCGCACGGTGCAGGAGGTGAGCACCGAAGGATTTAGAGAAACCTGAGACTTTGGGAGTGACCCCGAGACCAGACCCCCCTGCCGACTGTCCCAAAGGCCTGTCGAAGGCTCTGGCTCTACATGAAAAAGTGTGTTGGGCACCCAAGACCATATCCGGATACTTCAAGAGAGTTTGTTCTCTTATGTAGTAACAAATTTTCCTCTCATTTCCCGAGTCCTCCACTTTGCTGGCGGAGATTTGGTGCGAACGCCCCTTTCGGACCTGGCGGGAGGTGGCTGGTTGGTTCTCCCCAGCACCCCCGCCACAGCCACCTCACCCCGGGCGGAGACGCTGCCAACTTTTCCATTAGAAACCGCTGTGGGCGAGGTCTTTTCACTCAGCCCGTAAAAATTTACTTTGGGCTGAACGCAGAGATTAAATAAGGTAAGGGTTGTAACAAAAAAGTCATTCTGGTTCTGTAAAGTGGTATACACTTCTAAAAGAGTGAGGGGCTAAGCATGTGGCCCTTATCTGGACCTAACAAAGGGCTTTGTTTATTTGAAAAATGGGGGTGGGGGTGGGGTTAAAAAAAAAAAAGACTGGGCTAAGCTCCTCCAGGGTTAGCAATCATTAGTGGTTTGTTTCGCCTGGGAGCCCTGGGCACTGACTGCTGAGGCAGCAGCTGGGGGTCCCAAGCCCACCCTGTGGTTTCCCCTTTAGAGCTGGGCTTCCCCCAGCCTATGTGCCCTGCAAAACCAGCTGGGGACCCCATATTACTGGAAGTCAGGGACGACAGCCAGGTAGCATCAGGGGAAAGGGAGCCAAGCCCACATGCCCTGCTTTTGCTAGTCAGCCTTGAAGTTCCCACTTTCCCTTTCCCAGGGTTTGTGGGTGCGTGCATATCTGTACTCCCTCTGTTTGCCGCGGGGTTTAAACCCGGACCTGACGCTCTTGCCACAGAAGCTGCTTATATATGGTCCTTCCTATCCGGGACTAGATTACTCTGTCAACAAACAGATTTTAAGCAACTGCTGTAGGGGGGACCCAGCTGGCCCTGGGGGTACCTCCAGATACAGATCACAGACCATAAACATGGAACCACACAAATAAGACAATTTGGGAGCAAATGGGAGATGCTTCCCTCACTGTAAAGGGGCCGCTCTCTCAGACAAGGGGACACACGAGCTGAGACCTAAAGGAGGCAGCTGGCTTTGCTCCTTCCTCTGGACAGGGGAGCAAAACTCGCTGTTGCCCTGGCCAACCATGGGTCCAACCTGGAGCCAGGGCCTGGACTTTGGTGAGAACGAGGTTAGGAGGTCATTTTCTCATTTCTGAGGGGCAACCTCGGGTATCTGAAAATAGCGACAAAAGACTCTCACAGAGATCTCGTGAAAATCAAGTGGGGTTAATAACAGGCGCCTGTCCCTGCTCCCACCCCTCCATGGAAAATTGGATCTGGATGTATGACAAATCCAGGGCAGACTGTCCAGGAGCCCCCACCAGGACAGCAGGGATCTCACCTCCTCTACCTCCCCCTCTTCAGTTTAAGATTCCAGCTTATCCAGTCCACATGGTCTGATTTCCAGCAAGTGCCCTGACCTCTAACCTTTACTTCTCACCTCTAAAATGGGATTGTTGTGGGATTGATTCAGTGAGCCCGCCCCAGCACCAGGCTTGGGTGTTTGCCTCCGCTGCCATCACCTCGGTTCAACCTTCTCTTGCTCTCCACTCCTTCCCCAACTCCAGCCTCCACTCCCCTAATTATCACCCTTTTTTCAGGCTGGATGGAGGAGGGAGCGTGTCTCTGGAGAGCGCAATCTCTTCTGCCAGGTGGGCCATCGGAGGACACAAGATCGCACTTTCAGACTGCAAACCACTCCAAAGTCAAGAAGGGGAAGGGGGTAGGGGAGAAAGGAACTGCGGCTTACTCCTTCCTCTCCTCCATCCAAGCACACATTGGGGACTCCCGCGCTTGCTGCTGAGGCAGCGTCTAAAGACCGTGTCATTCCAGAGAAATCCAGCGTACTACCTGCCTGCAGGGGTGACGGGATGGGGGGGGATCACTTCGGGGACTAACAGGAGCGGTGAGCCTGTGCAAGGGGGAATGGGTGGAGTTCGGGCCAGGTCCCCGCCTTGATACCCTAAGAGAGCCGTAGGTTCTACCTCTAATAAGCCTCCTCTCTTGACACCAGGATCTCAGCAAATTGTTACTGGAGCCTCCTCCGTGCACTTTCTCTGGACCTGGAATCCTTCTGTTTTCTCCCAGGTCGCTGAAAAGTCCGTCTCTTGCACCCTTTTCCAGACAAAGGGGACGGACCGGGGATGGGGTGTGAAGGGGCTGGTAGGTAGGGACACCCCAAGGAAGCCTCCTGTGGCCCAGTGGGGGGGGTCTTCCATCCTGGCCGGGGTGCTGCCAGCAAGGGTCGCACAGGCTCTGACAACATACGGAAAGCCCCCCATGACCAACGCCGAATGCCTAGACCTTGGGAGTGTGGGATCCAGCCCAGCGGCCAACCGCACGAAGGAGCGTGCCTCACCCAGAACAGCCCAACCCGCCCGGGTGAGGCTCCCCCACTGCGCCCTGGAGTTCCCCGGGTCCGGGTCCTGGGCTCTGGACCCTGGGGGCCTGGATCTGCAGCATGCGAGCTCCCAGGTTTCTCTCCTGGAAGGCCAAGGCCTTGCGCCCCGAGAGACCTGCTCGACGACTGTGAGCTCTCCTTCTGCCACAGCCTGGCAGGCTTCTGAGTAGAGATGAGGAGGGGCTGGCTGGTTGCTGAGCTGATTAGAGCACCGCCTTGTAACACCAGGACCTAAGGGGCCAGATCCCTATACGGGCCAGCCCCCCCCAAAAAAAAAAAAAAAAAAAAAAAAAAGTGGAGAGAGTTGTAAAAATCTACATTATTCTTTTAAAAGTCTATTTTTAAAAATCAACACTGTGTTGGGCTGCGGTAAAGAAAGGCCTCGGATCTACGACCTCATGTGGCATGTGGATACAGAGCGAGTTTCTCTTGACCAAACCCTCCAAATCAAATCGTTTTGATTCAGGGAACCAGTTAGCTCCCTGCCGGCGCTCAGGTTGAGGGATGGGGGCTGCCCGCCACTGAATTTAAACCCAAAGGAAACCAGCCACTGGAATAACTCAGGCCTTGAACCCCACTTCTGTGTACATGTGAAGGATGTTTTCTCATGCAGCTGTACTTCCTCTCTTTCATCAACACCGGTCTTGGGTCTTCAGGTCTGGGAAATGGGGAGAAAGGAGAGTCAGCCTTGATCTCGATTTCCAACTCTATTTCTAAGCTGGGACTTTGGTCCAGTTCCTTGTGCCAGCCTTCAGTGTGCAAGGTTCCGGAAGAGACACCATCCCTTGCCCTGCTGCCCAGAGCTTGAATCTGGGCTCCTTGGGAAGGGCAGAACCCTTGACGTTGGTGGTGGCGCTGCTGCAGCTCTGAGTCCAACATCTTGAGGCCGAGGGTGGGCCCAGTGGGCCCGCCCACCAGTGGAAATTTCTCTGCGTCCTGCCGCCTGTTGTCACAGTGCAACTATGGGCAGGGACCAACCAGAGTTCACCTGCCTGGGTGCTTCTGCAGTTTTACTAAGTGCCTCTCTCCTGAGCGGAGGGCCATAGGACTGCAAGGAGGGCGGGCAGACTGTGGGGCCCCAGCCCTGTGTTTACCCACCTTCCCAATCACCCGCTAAAACGCACTGAGTTTTCCATTTCAAGCCCTCCTTCCAAAGCCAGCCTTGCTCTCCTGCCCCCCTCCTGGCCCCATCTACCTCGCACTTAGTTTGCTGTTGAAGTAGAGAAAAGGTGGCCACCCAGAAAGCAGTGGGTCTCAGACTCCAGGCAGTGAGCCTCTGCCCTGGCAATGAAGCTGCCTGTGGCCCAGGGAGCTCACGGGAAGAAGTGACTGGAATACGAACATGTTAGATTTCCACCTGCACTGCACGGTTCCACTTGTTCATCCTCACACATGATCACAGCAGCCCTGTATGGGTGCTGGAGTTTCTAATGAGCCCATTTTACAGACAGGGTGACTGAGGCATAGCCAGACAGCCTGACAGTAGAGCCTCCAACCTAGCTGAAAAAATGGAAAGCTCTTCCTAAGCCCGTGGACAGGCTACTGGTTGGGGTGTCTATCTTGGCTCTGGTTGCCTCTCTCTGCTCTGGTGCAGGGACCCCTCTGAGCTCTTTCTGTCTTTCCACCTGAGGAGATATGGGGCAAATGTTGCTGAGACAGGTGGCCTCTCCCTAGTAGTGGGAGAACAGGCTGCACACCAGCCCACCACGGCAGTGACTGGCCTACTCTTGCCCTTGCCATGGGATCTTGGGAAAAACCTGTCTCTTCTCTGGCCTCAATTTACCCAGGTATGCAGAGTTAGTCTGGTGATTCCTGTGATTCCTCAGGCTATGCTATTTATTTTCTGAGTCCCAAAGTCCTAAATTGGTCTCTAGATTCTTCTTTATTCAGGGATTCCACTTGCTCCAGGGCAAGACTGCACCTGGCTAGGTAGCTTTCCATTTGCAGCTGAGAGCTGGCAGCCATTTGGGAGCTCCTGCCACTGCCCAGGATGGCCCTGGCCCTAAATCCTCCCTAAGGCCACGGCCGTGACCCAGCGGCTTGACCAGGCCCCATCCGAACCTGTAGCCGCATCCTCCAGCACAGACTTTGGGTTCCCTGAAAACAGGTTAAATCAATTAAGATGCCACTTTCATGCTACCTGAAGAGTGAGCAAGTTATTTTGTACAATGGAGGTCTCTCTAAACTCATCGTCTCTCTCTGCCCTATGCTCCAGCTTCACAACTCCTCAGACCCAGCCTGACTTGAGGGGAATGGTGTTGCCACCCAGAGCTCCAAGCCTGGGGCCCCTGAACCGCCTGACAAGAGTCTCCAGGCTGCATGTCTGCCCCTCCAGGTCTGTGCCCCTACTCCAGCACTACAGGGAGGGGGAAGGGAGGAATTAGGCCACTGCCTTCTTCCCTTCTCCAGACCAGATCTCCCAGATTCACGATCTTTTCCAGAACTCCCAACCCCTTCTGGAGTGCCAACCTCCAGGATCACTCCCCAGGAGATGCACAGATGGCCCCTCAACTAGGCTGTTCCCGAACATAGCACAGGTGCCAGTTGCTCAGGGCCTGACCCCCATCACACTCACCCCTGTAATGGACTCAGGGCTCAGCCATTCGGGGCTCAAATGGCTGGAGACTGGCTTTCCAGAGCGAGACCGCACAGACCCAATTTAAATATTGACCCCTGCGATTTTTAACAGGCTCTCGTGGAAATCCCACAAATGACGAATGGTTTAAAATGAGCACTCTTCCCAGACCTCCACTTCTAACTAATTTTTGGTTTACTCGAAATCACTGGCAACAAGTCATTTAATCTTCTGATCCTTTCTTCATACATACTACATTTCCAGTGGGCTAGGGGGGAGAAGAAGAGGAGGCTGGTGCCCTGTCCGGATTCCACGTCTGCTTTGTAGCATGCGTTTAAAAAATGGCTTATCCCAGCAAACCGGTTACCACCTCTCCTCTCCAAGTGGAAAGGAATCATCCCTACTTCTCCGGCCAAGGGGTCACTCTTGGGTGTATAGGTGGTGACCACTGCAACCAATATCTCCCATTGCGAGAGTTTCTGTCTGTTCAAGTAGAAAACAGAAAGGAACGTGCGCTAGGCTCCAGGCGGGCAGGTCAATGACTCCTGGGCCCGGGAGGAGAGCGCCCCTAGGCCGCGCGGCTCCAGAGAAGCCAAGCTACCGCTTCCGGCGGCTCCCTTCTGCTCCCGGGTCCTCCGGCGCTTGGCTCCCTGGTCCATGCACCGTGGGGTTGCACCGCGCTCCACCAGGAAGGTGGTGGGAAGAACAGCTCCAGACCCGGACACGATCACAGATAGGCTTGGAGGCAGCAAACACAAAAGGTAAAGCTTGCCGATTGCGAGTGGAGCGCTCTGCTGGGACGGGGTTAAAGGAAATTGCCCTGCAGTTGAAGTTGGCTCCCTAGCCCGGCGCCAGCTCTCAGGATTCCAGAGGCCGGTGAAGCCCTCCCGGCTCCTGGGCCCGGAGGTCCTGGGTCACCCATCAGGCCCCTGAACATTGCACCTCCCAGCAAAGTGTCAGAATCCCTCCAGCTAGGCTGCAACTACCCTGACCGGGGACAGAGACACTGGAAGGAGCTTGGCCTACAACCCGAGGACACCAAAAACCAATGCTGTGGTGACCAGGCCTCCCTGAGACCTGGTCCTGGAAGGTGCCTGGTCGGGTGGCCACGGTCACAGGCACTGGCCGCCGTCTGCCTGCCAGAAAGCTCACCTAGCGTGCCCCCATTTCCTGTAATCCCGATTCTGCTGGACCTCGGTCTCAGTGATCCTTGCTCACTGTGGCACCTTTTCAATCCTAAAAAGAACGGCTAAGCTCAGGCCCTCCTTCCATTTTCCAACGAATCGCCGCCCTGTCTTTCCCGCCGGGTCTCAGATCACCAACTGCCATCTCTCCTACTCTGATCTGTGGAGCCCCAGCCCCAAGAAAGGCAGGTGGAGAAGAGGCGGCAGCAGCCCCGAGTCTGAAGCCCTGGCTCCCCACAAGTGCTCGGCCAGGCCGCTTCGGCCTGAAGTGCCTGGGCCTCACCATGCACCCAGCTCGCTTTTAGCGTGTGGAGCAGCAATGATCCTTCACTCCCTCCAGGAAAAGAGGAAAGAGAAGGAGGAATGCAAAAAGGAAAAACAAAAGGAGAGTTGATGAAAGAAAAGAAGGAAAAAAGGGAGGGAGGGAGGGAAAAAAGGAAAGGACGGAGGGGTGGAAGGAAAGAGAAAGGAAAAGAAAGGGAAAAGAAAGAAAGAAAAACCTCAGAATAGACTAGCAAAGAAAGAAAAAGGGAAAAGAAAGAAAACAATACCAGAACGGACTAGCATTCGGATGCCGGTTTGGGGATCCCTCGCCTCTGGAACAATTCTTGGTTAGCCGCGGCCCAGCTTGGGGCCAGGAGATGGTTCGTTCGCCTGGGTGGCCCTGGCCTCTCTCATCGAGTCGGGGAAGAGGTGAAGCCCCCCGGCGCGGCCTCCCCAAGACGCCCTCCGGGCTGGCTCCGGCTTCCCGCCTGGGCCGAGGCCGCCCGGCTCCCCAGCGTGCCCGGCCGCCCGCCTGCGGCCTCACCTTCGGGAAAGACGGCGCGCATCTTCAGATAGCTGGTGGTGAGTCGGATGATGGACGCTTTATCCAGCTGCGAGGTGATG